TACGATAGGGGAAATACTCGCTGTTTTACAAGGTGAATTACCTTATAGAGGGTGGGTGCCTTACAACACTTACACTTCGCTTTTTTTATTTTTACTCACATCTCTTCAAGAAATGTTAGCTTTGATTTTCGGTACGATTGTAAATATCGCTACGGAAACCTTGGTATTAGGGTTTTGCTTACAAACGTGTTCACAACTTGAAATTCTAAAATATCGTCTTCGAAGGGAGGTAAAATCTAGCGAAAAGGAAGAAACTTATTGCGACAATCCGTTAAATGGCGTGTCACGTAAGAGAAACAGATTGTCAAAACACATTCGTTATCATCTGTACATAATCAGGTTAGTCAAGCAGATGGAAAAAATTATTTTATATGCACGACTTTTTGTTAAATATATGTTAAGTCAAACTCTCAATCCAATCATAACGCTGGTTAATATATATGTATATAGGCGGTAGTGATTATATTATACAATATATTAAATTCATTTAACAGCGCAAAAATTGCGGTATAATTGTAATATAGAATTGTATTATGTCAGCTTCTTGTAAAAATTAAAGAAAAAAATTAAACATCTCTTAATTAAATTTGTTCTTTGATCGATAAAATCGTTATTGGTGAAAGTACAAATAGTTGTTGTTCGTCATTCTTTAAAAATTTCCACTATATAGTAAAGAATTAACTCAGTAAACGAAAATTAATTTAAATAAATTAAAAATTGCAATTTATGTGTTTTAATTTATCCAAATTGGCGCGCGCTTTAGAGTTCAGAGAGATGTATTCAATTTCCCGTAGAGTCAAATATTTTATATTTTATTTAAATTTTTGTTGCAGATATTTATTTTTAAAAAAATTAAATTTTAATGTACTTTATAGATTTATATTAATTATTTTTCTGTCAACAGACATGAAAGTACATTATCTTGGATTCACGTATAATATGATGTAATTGATGATATACTAAAATTCAGATATACTAAAATTCAACTGTGTTAATTATCCCGTATCGTACGTGAATCCAAAATTAATATAGTTTGTCTATTGCATGTATTCATATAATACATGTGATTTGTTACTTAATGAGAATATATTTATAGATTTGCCAGAATGGTCAATGATGTATTCAGCCAAGTACTCTTTATCCAATTTTTTGCTAGCATATTGATACTGTGTACAAGTGTATACTACCTATCCTCTCATATGACAATTGCAGATTTCGTGAAATTAGTTATTTACACATTTTGTATGTTTGTGCAAATTTTTGTGTATTGCTGGGCTGGAAACGAAGTAATACTTAAGGTAATTACAATTTTGTATATCTTTATATAAAAAAAATTTATGCAGATAAAAGATTATGTTGCAGAAAAATGTGTTTGTATGATGTATACATTTTCTTTTTTACAATAAATAGATTTTTAGCAATAATTAATTTATATTGATCGCTTTTTTTTACTTATTTATAGAGTAGTGGATTGAGTGAAGCAATATATCAAATAGATTGGATATTGTTGAATATCAACGAACAAAAGGATTTACTAATGATTATGAAACGTAGCATAAGACCTATAAAGTTTACCAGCAGTTTTTTAGTGACATTGTCTCTGGAATCGTATGGGAATGTCAGTATTATAACGTGAATATATTCTCTTTGGTAATTTTATTAATATATTTCACTTTATTTATAGATTCTCAAAGCATCCTACTCTGCCTTTAATGTTTTACAACAATCTTGAGACACAAATAATAAAAGTTCACTCATTTACTACACAATGTATACAGTGATTTCTCATGAATAAAATCTTGTACGAGTATGATATTATTAGAGAGGGACATATATGTATACGAGAATGTCATACAGTTAATGTGTACACATATTTATAGATATACATATATGTATATA